TTATTCATATGTAAATCACCTTTTGCTATATTTATTCGATAGTTTATTAAATAAACTGTCGAATCAGTAAAGTAAAAGATGGTTTACATATGAATAAGAACCAACATTCTGGTCTAAAATTTCAGAATTAGCCCGATCGGAAAATCCCGAAGGGTGATTTTCCTAGCAAAGATCCCATATATTGGGGGTTTTTTTTATTTAATATGAGAACTGTAAGGCACGTTCAATGATCGCTTCATTACGTGCAGAAAATGTAGAGCAGAAAAATACCAGAGGTTCTTTCATCAATGATTTGCGATTACCAGCATTTTCGCGAATGTTTGTACCTTTGTTCAATAAAAATGCGCCTAAATAGTTTTGTTTTAAGTGAGGCGGAATATGTTCGAAACCATGAACGAGGTAAATGCGATTTGGATTGACAGTTGGAATCTTAATCAAGCTGAAAAGATAATTAATTTCATCCCATTTCTTGTCTTGTAATAAACGTTGATATTCGGCCCATTGTTGACTATTTAGTAATTGTTCCCAATCGGCAAACAGTAATGAATTTTGAGATTGCAATGTCGTCTTTCCTTCACCTGATGGTATAGCAGCAAATAGAGGTCTATCGAGTTTGACTTTGACGGAATAATTAGTTGAAACGGAATTGGATCATGCAAAGATTTATTAATATAGGAATCCTGCTACTACCACATCCAGTTTTGATCCTGTCATACCTGTATCATAAATGACTTGGGGCTCTTGATTTGACATGATTTCGTAAGAGCAGTGTCACGGGCAAAAGGTGAATCTACAAAATTAGGCACAGTAAAGTCGTGATTGAAGAAGTTGTAATGGAGGCTAAATGTTTGTTCTATCGTGTGAGGCTTTTCGGCTAGTGATGTGAACTATTTGAGTGTCGTCAAAAGAAAACCCGATAATTTAAATATAGTCTATATTTAAATTGTCGGGTTTTCTTTTGGCGGCACTCATTTAAATCCGGATAATACATAAAATCAAAATCCGTATAATACGGATTATACAAAATCAAATACGGATTATTCGTCATCATATCCGTACTTATACGGATTGATCTTCAAACTGCATAGTTCTCACTGGAACTATAGTTTATGTAGTTTAAACAGTTGATCAGCGATCTGTATAATCAATATACACTTGTTCGAAATATAACCAAATCCAACTTCTAAGATTCTCTTCTTCTTCTATATTAATATAGGCTGTCTTTCTTTATTAGATTTTTGTATGTTTTCATGTACATTAGTTGATGTTTCGGCATTATTTTTATTACAATTAGACTTTTTTTTAATACAATTGAAAATGGAATGCTAACGCAATTTATTTTATTTATCTAATTTAATTTTTACTAAATATATTAATATTTATATAACATATTATCGAATGATATCAATATAGTTTTAGTAGCTCACTATAGTTTTAATAGTTAAATATAATTTAGTAGTTAACTATATTTTTACTCTAAGGCTTGTAACTTATGGCGTTTATTGTTCGATATGAAAAAAGCCTCTGTACAATAAGGTGAGTTATGTTTAAGCCTCATTAGTCCTTTAAGTTATAAAAAGGACGTAACTTGGTTAAGGTTGGTGACGACACTTATGTGCGAGGAAGGGGCACATATGCTCACTAACTCGATAATAATTCCCTTATATTATACAGTATGAACCAATTCACCAACGTCACGTCTCTGACGAGTTGCCTTATATCATAAAGTCTATATTTTATAGTATCAAGTATATATTATTAAAGATACGAATCACCCTGTAACAGCAGTGAGTGACTTGGTTATTAAACTTTGACCAAATTTTGTTTGCTAGAGATGTAATGGAAACAGTTAATGGTTATGTTGTAATAAGTTACTACAAAGGCTTTACGATATAAACCATATTAGTTTCCAGCCTTTGCAGACAACTCAGAAAATGTGAAGCCGATTTTCATGTGCATGATCATTCAGAGCGTATATGTTTAGATAATTCACGCACACGAACAGTTAGGAAGTGGAGATGGAAAAGGTAATTACTTATTACGTAAAAAGTTAAATTATATATTACTGTATTAATTGTAAGTCTACAATGTGATTTAACTTTTTACGTAATAAAGTAATTACTCTGCCAAGAGAAAACCTAGAATTATTAATTTTCGGAAACTCTGCTTTTATAAATAGACAATATCAAATTCTTGTGAGCTGTTTCTGAAAATGAAATTTCGGAAAAATAACAATTCCAGGTTTTCCCTTGGCAGCACACCTATCTTTTACGTACATATATCATTTCCCCGACGACTATTTGACGACACCTAACTGAAACAACACTAATCATAAATAAGGCTAGCCTTAACTTAAAACTGCAAAATGACAAAAAATCGGGTTCAGTCATTGTAATTATAGCGATAAAAACTAGGTCCCATACTTGACTATTTTGTGTGATAATCAAACATGGAGTTTTAATCACTAGTTACGAAGGTCATCTCTTACTATACACGATTCATATTAATACCGTACAGAAAAAGTATCCTCTTTAAATAGTATCGAGGTACTTTTAAGGTATCCAGGTACTAATCAAGTAGGATCAACTCATACGATTAATACACTCCTCTTGTATATTACCCTTCTCTTCACGAGGTACCCCGAGGGTATTATTTAGTATATTTGAAAAAGAGAGTGGTACTGTATGCTGTACGGCAATTATATAATTACAGTATAATAATTACAGTATATCAAATATAAGAAACTGTTTGCATATGTTGCACGCCCAAATATGCCTAAATGTTAGTATGTTTTGATGATTCATTGCATGAATGTTCGCCATTAATGACGCATCTTTTCAATTGTCTGGAACATAGCAGAGATATTAAATGTTTGGTTAAATTGATATAAAGTTATATTTTTATGCTTCAACAGTTACGTTTTTGATTCACTTTTACGTATTAGTGCATTTCATAGGCGTGTCTGCATTTTATAGTTTTCTAGCATAATATAAAACATGAGTGAAAACCCGTAATGGTAATTGAAACCTTGGTTCATCAGACCTCTGAAAAACGTGATCAAATGATGATTCAAAACACATCATATATGAATATTTAGAATATTTAGGAATTTAGTATAAACATACGCATATGCATTGTGAAGATAGTGTTTCATTTATCATTGGCATTAAATTCTTTGGAGTCGGTTTTTCGCTCTGCGGCATTTACACATATTACGCGTTTGTGTAATGTGATTTCCAATTCTAGGAACTCGGAAGAATTACAAACCAACAAGTTGACGTGTAACTTAAAAATCGATTTCGTTTTGATCGAATCTACTATTATGAAGTATACAAAGTTATGTAAATTTTGATTATCATAACACAAGCTTAGAAATCACCTGGTAATGGTTTTTTTTTTGATCAGTCTATAGTCGAGGGAGTTTCGAAATTAATCTATATATGAGAATACGATTTCGATTAAAGCAAAGAACTTTTTTTTTGAAAACTATTAATGAATAAATGTGATTATTCATGTTAAGTAAACTATTACGTTTATAGGCAACCAAATTTTTTTTATGAATTTGATACTTCCACTTCATTTCTCTTATTTTGAATTTTCAAATACCTACGTACTGTACTTATTTTCGTTAATTCAGAAATGCTATTTTTTCAGGCAATGGTTCTATTATACCTGCTACGTTAGTTAGAAATTAAAAGATTAAATTTGTACGTATTTTTTTATTTTTAATCTTATCAAAATAAAATTCTTTTACGTAAAATACTTTGTTGCCAAATGAAGAAATTTTTCTTTGTCTTTTATATTATGATATTTCCTTAAAAGTTCAAATTAACATATACAAATTCATTTAATGACCATTTTGTAAAAAAATTTTATAGAATTATACGTACGTAATACTTACAGTAAATGAAAATATAAGATTTATTATTTTCATATCATTTGTACAATATTATGTAGAATGTTAGAGTACTGTACTGATATTTACGCCTGCTTGACGACCAACATATACGTACGTATACTTACATATACTTACATATACGTAGTTTTAAAAAATATATATATACTTAAAACGGAAAAAAATTTACACTAATTAAATTAGTACATCGTTGTGACATTTATTTCTTTTCGTTATTTATTATTAACATCAAATAATAGTTAATATCGTGCAAAAATGCTGCTTCAAGAATTCGCTCATGTTATGTTTATATGTAATAATATACAGAATTATTATTATTATTATTTCTTATACATTGATTAAATTAAATTGAATTTAAATCTTTCCTTACAGTTCTACTCAACACATTATTCTGAATTAATAGATTAATAGATTTGATAATAATTCTTTTCGAAGTCCTGTTCTATTAAACCAGAATCATGGGTTCAACATTCACATTTATTAATGCAGATACGATGCATTAATTTTAATAAGAGCTATCTATTTGTTCATTAAAAAGAAATGTGTGTAATTATTTGCTCTAAATTAAACGGTAGATTCCGTTTATTTAGATAGAGATCAATCGACTGTGTAACATTATTAATGCCGTAACGCTTGAATCTTATTGTTGGTTTTATTGGTACATTTATTAATTAATTAATTAAATTATTATAAATACTTCTTAATAAACATCGTAAATTATTATCTCTCCTCTTAATCTCATCCTCGTATTAACCCTTCCATTAATCCTCTCATTCACGAGAAATTCTCAAAGTTCTCGTTCCCATTTCATTAACATTCCTTAGTCGAAATGAAGCTGATTGGAACTCTCTTCTCTACTGTTTTCTTGGTAGCTTTGGTTCAAGCCGGTATAAACACTTTAAGTCCTTATTCCAGTACTCCTTGGACTGGTGGCCAACCCCAAAACATTCAAATTGCTGATGATGGTCAACAACCTTCGTTGAGTTCTTTACATAATATAACTTGCGATTTATATGTTGGTGAGCGCTTAAATTTTTTTCTTTAATGTATTAAATATTTGTATATTTCGTAAATTCAATATTTTACATTATTATTAATTAAATTCTATTAAATTTATAAAGGAAACTCACAAGCCCAATTCTTCGCTCAAAACTGTGCAACTGGAGTTGATGGTGCAACAACTAGTACAATAGCATGCAATGTCCCTGCTACAGTAGGGCCTGTATGTTCATGCTAGTATGTATATACATTTATGATTTTTATGATGTCGTTTCAATTGATCTGAATTAAATATCTTAATTGACTTATTAATAATAATAATTTTTAATAGTTTCATTAAATACACTTCTGGAAATTATACCGCTTATTCTGGTAGCTTTACTATCAACGGAGTAAGTGGCACAATTCAAGGGTTTGATCCTTCAATGTGCAGTTCCAACTCCACTACCAATTCCACCGCTTCTGCTTCCGCTGCTGCTCCTCCTACCGCAGCTGCTACCCCAGCAGCTGCTTCCTCCGCTGCTCCTATTTCATCTTCACAAACTTCCGCTTCAAACGCTTCTGCTCCAAACGCTTCAAACGCTGCTGCTCCAAAATCACCTCCACCGAGCTCCGCAGCTGCAAAACCAAACGCTTCTCCTGCCGCAACTGGTTCTGTTAAAACTCCCACACCTTCAAGTTCAAGTGGCGATTTTAATCACCCAATTTCTAATTTTGCTGGATTGTCTTTGGCTATCGTTGCTGTCGCCTTTACTTTACTTTAAACTATAACTTGTCAAAATGTGTAGATTATTATTATTTTTTTTAGTTGAATGATAGTATCTATTATTGTGTAATTAGAAATATAGTACGTACGTAATTTGGTTAAATTAATTTTGCATAAGAGACGTTATAGGTATATGTTATATGCATATACTGTAGACTTTAAAAAAAACAAAAACAAAAACAACCACGCTTAATCATTAGATTTATTAAAATGTATTCTTTCATGTATTCTTTATTTGTGGTTAATCATGTCATTTAATAAAAATTGGGTGATCTAAAAAATTTTTTAATAATTTATTAAACTAAAAAAAAATAAAATAAAGAGAACAATGCTTTATATGCCTTGAAAACAAAAATATTATATTCATTATAATTGATCGTTGTAAAATTGTTTACAAATGACAGTTTTAATTTTTGGTATTGTAAACAATGATCGATCGATCTAATCGTCATGAGTTACACCAATTTTCCAAAATTGATATGGAAAGTTTGTAGATTTGAAGTCAACTTTACTTAATTCGAAATCTAAAATAACTTAAAATAAGAAAATCAATTTTATGTAAATACACTATTCTTTTTTTGGTTTTAACGAAATCTAAAAATAAAATAAGAAAATCAAATTTTATGTAAATACCTACTTTTTTTTTTAATCGTATTCAAAGATTTATTCTCTATTAATGCTTTGACATTATGCGGTTAATGCCCGCATCCATAATGAACTATATTTGTAGGAAATATTTATATCTATGCTACATTCGGAATTATTATGTTTAGAATTATTACATCCAGGGATTATTACATTCGGAATAACGTATTTATGGGGTTTGATTCCTCAAGGTTATAATTATTCGGGATCTAGTATCATCAGGATTTAGTTCGTACTAAATCCAGATGTTCTATAATTAGTGATATGGGTCGATGAAAAAATCTCGGGTCAGGGCCGGCCCGGGTTGACCAGCCTTGGGCGGCCGATCGGGGTTGACCCTTTTATGAATGATCTTGAATAATTCTGAAAAGTACTCAACCTTTTACACTCTTTAAACATCAATTAAAAGTTATTCAGATCTTTTTTTCCGACCCTAATAAGAGATTCGTATTCAATGCCGGGCCGGCCCGTATCACTAGTGGGCCGGAATATACGATGTTCATATGAGTGCCGCCAAGGGAAACTTAGAATTATTAGTTTTCCGAAATTTCATTTTCAAAATAGCCTATAAGAATTTGATATTGTCTGCTTCTTTAAGCGGAGTTTTCGAAAATTTAGAATTATAGGCTTTCCCTTGGCAGCACTCATATATGTACACATAGTCTAACTAAAACTTCAATTCCATTGTATACAAAATAATCCACTAATAAACAGAATAAGATGATTGAGAATATTTGGTTTACAGCATCTCAAATCAGAATTTAAATTTTAATTAGCGTAATGATCCAAGAAGATCAAAGTTTTTTATATTTCTGGACTATGTGTATGATATAGTGAAATTTCTACATAAATAATATTAAATTGCAGTATGATAAGTGTAGAGTGGATTGGAATTTATATTTCGCGATGCGCAAGTAAATACTTTCACAAAACTTTTCTTTTTTTTAAAAAAAAAGCGATGTTATGGCAAACTAGTTTTTTATTGATTATAATAACGCAATAATTGAAATTTTGCTTTATAGTTCTAAATAAAGATATTACATTAGAATTTAAATTTCTTCTGGATTACGTCAAATTTCTTTATAACGAACTAGATATATATTTTGATTAAAAGTTTTTCCGAAGGTTACCACTTACATACTGAATTGTTATAAAGTTAAATAATTACAACTTGCTGCGTATAAAGACGTAAATTTCATTAAATTAACTACGTATTAATGTGCATATGTGTACATATAGATATAGTGTCCTACACAGTGATAGGTTATTATGTTATGCTTGGCAAGCAATTCGTATTTATAAAAGTACCAAACGAATTCTGCCAAGAAAATAGAATCGTTGCAGGTATTTTATAATAATAACTTTAATTACAAATTATATATTATCGTTATTATTAGAAATAATTTATTATTATTACGGAAATTCCGACCTATTATTACACGTACGTATTACGGGGATTATAATCTATTATGGTAATATGGCATTTACCACATTTTTGGGTCTTAGTTGTAACTAAGAGTTGTGTAATCCGTAATATACCGCAATTGACAGGTTACACAACGAACATGAGAGATTGTTTTGATATTTTGCAATCGTATCATAGTTAAGTCATAATGTATTAACCCATTGTTTAACATTTAAATCAGGAAAACATGATTTTTAAGAACGTGTTTTAAAACATTTGCCATCCCTATTAATGATTAATCGCTTTTAGTGTTCGAAATGGTCGGGTTCGGGTTGGGTCAAGTTTTGCTGAGCCCGAACCCAAGCCCGAAAAATATTTTTGAACCAAAGTCCGGCTCCCCAAAAAAAAACCCCCAGAGTAGTAGGTCGGGTCGGGTTTTACTTAAAATTAGGTCTGGCCCAAGCCCGGCCCGCAAATTTATGAAGAATTAAATTAGATTTAAAATGGGTTTCATAATTAACCTATTTCGAAAATTAGTGAGAATTTGTTTTCTGCTTTAAATTTTTCGAATCAGGAAATTAAATATGTACATAGTGATAAAATTAGCTTCTTTTCTATCAATAAGCATTATAGAGGTTTAGACATTTAGAATTTCGGAGGTAGCTATCCCAGCAAAAATATCACGGCGATACAGCATATTTGCCATATAAGTAGAAGTGCCGCATGTTGTATAAATGCCGTATGTCGTATGAATACCGTATGCCGTCATTCACCTTAATTTAGTGGGCAAGTATAAAGATGATCTATTAATCGATGAATTAAAAAAGTTATTCATGTTTACAAACACTTATTTAGGATACGTGTTATTTTTCATCGACAATCACTTCATCAACAGCTTAGTTCACAGACAATTAATTCAAAGACAAGTTCATTTCACCGACAATTAACTTACCGACAAGTTCATTTTATCGACAATTATTTCATTGACAGCTCATTTCACCGACAAGTATTTTTTATAAATTATACTAACCTAAACTCTAATTCTAACCTGACACTGACAACAATTACCAAAATTACTTTGTCAGTGAAATGAGCTGTCAGTGAAATAATTGTTGGTGTTGGTGAAGTGATTGTTGGCGAAATGTACACCAATATGTAGTAATTTTACATATACTGATTTATATCAATCGTTGATGTTTACAATCTCTAAGCCCCGATTTACTGTGAAAGAACCCAAACACAAAAACTATTAAAGGCCATTAAAAGTTATTTAAAAAAATACGAATTACTAAAAGCCGTTAAAAGCTGTTTAAAAAATACAATCCATTAAAAACCGTCAAAAGTTAATTTTTGAAAATAAAACCTGTTAACTGTTAAAAACCGTTAAAAGTTAATTTTTTAAAAAAATAAAAACTGTTAACCGTTAAAAACCGTTAAAAGCCGTCAAATTACTTTTTAAAAAAATAAAAACCGTTAAAAGACGTTAAAGATCCCTGTCATCAGTATCATATGATATACCGAGTCAAACTTGGAACTGACTTTGATCCAGACTTATAAGCTGAGTTGGACCAAGTAGGACTTTTAACACCCCTATAAATTTGATAAATTTTAAATGCCTAAGTATTCTTTTTACTTATGGACTAAGATAAACATATTTTTATATAGTAAGAAGATTTTTGATACTGTTGAGTAATTGCAAAATTGAACTAATATGACATATCAATGTTTTTAATTTTTAGCTTATCACTATTTTTTAGCCAATTATTGTAACAGCAAAGTAATTTATTAGAAAAATATATTATGCATTTTCATTTGGTTAATAATATATATTCTGGTAAAACTTTTCACTGAAATCACCAAAATACTGAAAAATCTGGATATCCAGCAGGGATCTAGTTTCCAGTCCAACAACACTATACTATTCATTTTTCATATTTTTCACCACTAAATTACTAGGTTTATCCTGCCTTCTTTGATGATAAATATTTTCTGTATGGTTTTCAAACATAGCAGCATATCTAGCTACTACAAAAAAGAAATCACTTAACCTAGCAGAGCATATAAAGATATCAACAATTTTTTACATACTATCAAATGAAAAAATATGATATAATAAATAGAAAAATACCTGTTCAAGTATTTTCCAACAGCATTATCCACAATTCCTGCTTCCACTAATGGTACTGTAATACGTTCAGCTCTACGACATATCTATAAAAGAAACATATGTTGGTAAAAATATTAAGCTATTCAATAATTTATTAAAAAAAATACTATTACAAACCGAGCGACATTGATGTAAAAATACAGCACTCTCACCACCTGAAGGTAGAATAAAATTTTTTAATGGAGGAAGTTGCTAGTAAAAAAAAAAGTATGGTCAGAATAAATTAAAGATTTAATATCAATTTAAATTTTTAATTCTGAATATTAATAATTAAAATAACTGAATGTGTATGTATTTACAGAATCATAATGATCAATCCAAGATTCCAGAGTTGTAACAATTTCATCATCAAAAGATGTATAAGCTTAATTATGGAATAAAAAATTATATTTTAAAGATCTTGTTGTGAATTTATTATTACTTTTCACAGATGTTCTATAGAATAGGTGGGCAAATTCCACAAACTCTGCAACACTGTTAAATATCTATTAATGATTACTAATCATTAGCAGAGTTTATTTTTATATTGCCCACCTATTCTATAGAATATTCCTTTTCACTTACATATTTTAGATTCATTTGAAGAACTTCGTGGTGTTGCAATATTAGAACCAATCTCAATTAATTTGCATTGTATCTAATATTAAAAAAAATTTTTATTAATTAGTAAGGAAGATATTGTAAGTCAATAACTTTTGCATCAGAAAATTATACCTCGACTAACTTTTCATCTAATCCATTTCCAGCCTTTTTACAATAATAATTAGCAATTCTATTAAAATAAAGTAAAAATAATTTTAAAAAAAATTTCAATATAATAATTTCTACTTGGATAATTACCCAATACTAGAATTTAATTCATCCACGGTTCCTAAAGAATGAAAAGTATCATCATATTTTGGCCTTCGTTCACCATTATAAAGACTTGATGTGCCTGCAAAAAAAACTGTTAATATTGTTCATGTTTTGAATACAAATTTTAAATTAAATAACCTTTATCTCCAGTCTTGGTATAAATAGCTGACTTTTTAGGTTTAGGACTATAACAAAAGCAAGAATAATTAGCAGAAATACTATGAGCCAATCGTATATAGAAGAATTTCAAGAAAAAGACATGATATTCTGACCTTTGGCAACCAACCATTCTTCGTTGACTTGCAAAAAAGAGAAAAGCTTTGCCATTTATATGAAAATTCAAAGTAGACAAGGCAAGCAAAGTCTGGTTGACTGTCAAATGAAACCGACGAAAATATTGTATTTTACAAGACATACTTTGTATCTTCCATATGTTTACTAAAGCACAAGATAGATTTAATATTGCTTATTGAAATAGCAGTTCATTATTTGTTATAATTGGCTACCAGATCCTAATTAGTTTTAAGAAAAAATTTTGATTTATTTAAATACACACTTCCGAATAATTTATTGATGTAATATCAGATGATAGATGGGGAAATATCGATTTCCGTAAAAAGAATTATTCTTAGAAGGGCGTATCAAGATATCAAGATACTGCAGTGCAGATCATCAAAAGTCTGTGTCATTGTGAATCATAAAGTCACGGTTGCATTCATATCAGTTTATTTAGGAGACTGTAAACTGTTATATTTCGTTTACCACATTTCTGGAGCAAATATATAACTATTTGTTTCCTTAACTTTTTCTCTTAAAGATTTAAGTGAGTAAATCGGGCGGATGCAAAAAAGTCGTTTAACAGATAATCATGCAGAAACCAAATCTAGAAACCAAATCTAGACCCAAAACTGGTTTTTTAAAACATCATTCCGTACAAAACACCAGTCATAATATTTAATGTTCGAAATGGGTCGGGTTAGGCCGGGTTTTGCTGAGCCCGAACCCAAGCCCGAAAAATATTAGGCGGGTTGGGTTTTACTCAAAAATTAGGCCCGGCTCGCAAATTTATGAAGACTTAAATTAACATTTCGAAAATTAGTGAGAATTTGTTTTCTGCTTTAAAAATTTCGAAACAGGAAATTATATGTACATAGTGATAAAATTAGCTTCTTTAATAAGTATCTATCAGTAAGCATTATAGAGGTGCAAACATTTAGAATCTTAGAGGTAGCTATCCCAGCAAAAATATCATGGCCGCATGCCGTATAAATGCCGTATGCTGTATGAATACTGTATTCTGTCATTCACCTTAATTTAGTGGGCGAGTATAAAGATGATCTATTAAGCGATGGATTAAAAAAGTGATTCATGTTTACAAACACTTATTTACTATTAACTAACACCCTTCAGATTACCATTCTATTCGGTCAGTAATTATTACAATAAATTTTTAATGATATAAAAAATATATATAATATTTAACAATGATTAAAATGATAACCTAAATACAGCAAAAGGATACATTATAAAGCATGGTGTTTGACATGTGATCCCGACAAGCAAAAATGAGAATATTAATGATTGCATCAGAGAATTTCAACTTAGAACCATGAGAATGTATTGAACGGATTTCATTCAATAAATTATATATAAATTGTTGCGATAAATGATATACAATCGACTCTCCATGGAGCTTTGACCCGGGTGGGTTGACCCGTACGGGTCAGAATTTTGACGGGTTACGAGTCAAAAATTGCTTTGACCCAGGTCAAACGGGCCAGTTAAATAGGCAGATAAATTATAATGAGCCGGTTTTTTCCGATGTAGTAACTCATACAAAACTCGAGATGTTACGATTTAATGTTTATATCTCAAGTATATATTTTAGATACCAGGACTTAAAATCTAAATTATCAAGCTTGACTCACGTGACTATTGATCCAGGTCTTAACCGGGTCGAAAACGGTTAACCCGGGTCAAAGCTCTACTTCACATGCACAGAATTTCTAATGTAATTTAACATTATCTTTCTATGTAGATTATGCTCCATAAATGAATACTCTATAAATGCACCTTTACTCAAAAACGTGCAGTTGACTGTATTGATTTAGAATTCTACTCTTATTTCGAAAATAGCGCACATGGGTGTATTCGAATAACGCGCAGGTGGGCATTATTTCGCGCTTATACGGTATCTAATGTTAAAAGAGGATTTGAGTTATGTATATTCAGCAATTTAGTTTGGATGGCATACGAAGATTGATTATAATTGTGTAAAGCGCGTGAACCATCTCGCACAAAACTAATGAATTTTTGTGTTACTTGAATTTGATTTGCCAGCGAAATTTTTTAGGATACTACATCAATCACAGCGGCAATATAACTTCGGGTAGTGCGACCTCTACGTCATAGCCGTAATGCCGTAAGTAGTCACTACTCTTCATCATTAGTAAATAAGTATATACTTTTAAAAATAATAAGGTCAATATCATGAAAATTCATTTGACAGAACAAGACTGATAATAGAAACTCACCATCATAATTAATAATAAGTCATTTAAAGATTTATATTAAAATATGGAAAATATAAAGAATCTATTGCAGACTTTACTGATGTAACAATTTTATAATCATTTTGAATTTACTGATTAACCTTTATAAATTAATTAAAGTAGAATAAAGTTAATCGGGCATAATGTGACAGTAAATATTTATGATCTTGTTACAAACTTATTTAGACAGAGTGTGAGTAACATTTTACATCCAATCAAACTAATCTAAGGCTTTCTGGGCTCAGCCGGTCCTGTCTGTAAAACCCAAACCAGGCTCGATATTTTGGCGAGCCTAACCGAAGCCGGGCCCAAATAATAATTGGCTCAAAAATGTGAGCCAAAACTAGGCCCAAGCTCGGCCCGCAAATTTCCGGGTTTAGCCAGACCAATCTGAACATTAATCGTTTCATAATTTAACATATAAAAGTCAGCGATCACAAGAAATCATTACAGTATTACTTTATATATGTTGAGTTTTTGGCCAGCATTAACTGATCGACGTTTATTAGCCTAAATTAAATTCATACTAACCCTACTCTTAGGTCGGCACGACATATTTATCTTGTAAACTGTAACATGTAACTAGTAGAGGAGGTACTTTATATAATAGGTTTACATTTGATAATTGTATCAAAATCCTGCTAAAATTTACATAATATTGGTCAAGATAGGGTTTACCACAAAATCCTGAAGGACAAAATCCCGAAAGGACCTAATACCGACAAAGTTAGCCAGCATTAGTTATAATGTTGGCCAATTTAATCGGTATTATGTTTCTTCGGGAAAATGGTTTTCAGGATTTTGTGGTAGAACCGTCAAGATAGTATGATTCAGGCCAAATGTTGGATAATACAGAACCAGGGGTGCTTATTTTCGGGTAATGCTTATTCTCAGAGAAATATCTTTTATTTAAGAAAACTTACATGCTTAGAATAGAATTGACTTCCTGGATATGCTGTTAAAAGTATAAGGCATGCATGCGTGCAAAATTGTAAAAGTGGGAATAAGGGTCACCAAAGTAACAACCAATACTACTAGGAATATCACTCTAGGGCCTAATGGTGGAACTTGGTCCGAGTATAGTTGGAGATAAAATTAAATTTGTAAATTAATACAGTTACGGCACGTGCCGTATTTTTTGTCATAATTGTGAGCCGTAATGTCGTAGTGCCGCAATATCGTTATATCGTATTGTTTTAATGCCATTTGAGCCAAACTGTTATAGAAATTTTTTTCAGGCTTGCTGGTTTAGAAATAAGACATTAATAAAAGAAGGCCGGTGTTTCATTACCCTTTTTTTTTTTATAGTATTAACTCGTATACAAATAATTTAAACTAATCTTATTTTTGAAAAGTTGCTTAAACATTGAATTTTCAGATCTGACCTGATTTCACTGACCAATTATATAGATGTTTCCTATCACTATGTAAGCGAATTTTGTTGCAATGTCATAATTAGAGAAGTTTCAAAGTGAATCATGCAATGAAAATTATATAAAAAAAAAAAAGTAAAATTTGAACTTTTAAGTTTGTTAAACAATTATTATAAATGTTGACTTAAAATCTTATTATAAATATGATAAATATGATGCCGAAATCTAATCACATGAATGCGTCAATTTTATCGTAATCGTGGTTGGTCAATAAAACTATAATGTGCTAATTTTTAATCAATATTAATCAAATAAATTTAATTATGGCAAAATATTATGATTTTTACTGATTATGAGAAAATTGAAACACTGCGCAACAAAAAAAGATTCTTCACAAAATTTTTTAGGAAACTTTTAATTATTGACCTCTTCCAACTCTATTCTAGCTCTAACACTGATATTTTTCCTGATCCAATTAAAGGGTGGCGCTATGTCTCATTTGCGATAAGTGACATTTATGTAAATGATATTCTTAATTTTAAATATTATTGCATTAAAATAATAGACAAACCACTAAGTACAAACATAAGTTTAAAGTTTTAAATGATGATACATCTTTATAATTTTTAATAGAAAACCATTTACTAATTAAGAGATTTAAATATTGAATATAACGATTATAAAAATATCTAATCGTTCATGGAAATACAGTAATTCTAATTCAATTAACGATTAAACAATGATTATAGAATCGATTCACACCCTATTTCTAATATTCATAATACCTCTTACTGCGCCCCTCAATCTTTGGCTTTATATGACCACATCTTTAGCGACCAACATCTGAGTAGAAATGCTTGAATACTTCGAATGCTTGAGGTACTTGGAATGCTTGAAGTACTCGAGGTGCTTAGAACGCTTGAGGCATCATTACGTTTTTTCTAGAGTTGTTGGTGAAACTAAATTGAGCTGGTGACTGTCTAAAATCTGATTGGCTATTTATTACAATAGCCAAATCAAAATTTCAATTTAGTTTCACCAACAACTCTAGTTTCTTCCCAATCTTTTTTCTACTGCATATATTGGAATACAGCAATATGGCAATACGTATTGTGGCATGGAATTACAGTTTACTATGGTTATAAAAATTAATTCGACGTCAGTTATAGACTATTACGTTTATATTCATGAAATCATTTAAATATCAGCAATAATATTCTTCAACGATCTTGAAAATTGCATTCTTGGTCGTGAATATAAAATTTGAAGCATAAAACTTTTTTGAATATATAAACAAAAAAAAACTTTTTCAGGTATTTCTCATTGATCAGATGCAAAATATCACGAACTTGGATAGCTTGTTCGAAACATAAACGATAAAACCCTTGGTTATTGATAGTAATTCAACAATTATGTTACTATGCAATTTTGACAGATAAACGTCAAAAAGGTCTAATTGTGTGAAAGACCCGACTAGGAAGGCATTCATATGATTGGTTGATTTTTGTAAATCTACCCGTGATAATTAACCAATCAAATACATAATTTTTAATTAATACTTACAGTATTAGAAAACAAAGGAAACTTCGTATAAAGAAGATTACGAACTAATAAATACATGTCGTATCTAAAGTTACCATCTATCTGAAGTTGCAACTTTAGATATATAAAGTTGACCTGACTAAAATTAAGCCCCTGAAATTAGATCTATACATATAATTCTGGTTAGGTGCAACTTTATATATCTAAAGTTGCAACTTCAGATAGATAGCAACTTTAGATACGACATACACGCGAAAGAATTTATTATTTATGTAGAGAATAGATAGATACGCGTAAAGTTGGTAATAAGATATTTATTACTAATAAACCCAAACTATTATATTAATTTATGGTTAACGAACTCAAACACACTACCAAATTTAAATATTAAGCCCGGATCTTCTTTACTAAAAAGCTTGTACCTATTCAAATTAAACGGTTGGAAATGAAAATTTATTTAAATCTAACGTAATAAAATAGTTTTAAACGAAAACGTTTCTGGTTACAGCATAATTTGATATGGTCCAATAAACGGTAGGCATATTTTGCCTTCTAAGTAAAGTTCATAGGGATACTGATTATTACTGATTATTTTTGCATAGTGAATATAGACGTTCTATCGAAGCGAAAAATGGTTTGTAGGTGAAATAACTTCGGGGATTGATTTAAAAAACAATTTACATGACCATTCTGTCGTGATTTAGGGATGTTAAGTGGTCCGCAAGGGACCGGGTCCGGACAGGTTCTGGACTGGACTTTTTAGGGGTCATCCAGAACCAATCCGAAGCTAGTCCAAATAATCAATCACAGGATATAAATTGAATGTCATTTTGACATTCGAATGAAATTTAATAAAACTTAAATCAAGAACAATAATGTTCTTTAATTGGGTTAGGTATTCTGATTGGTTGGTTTGGTAATTCTTTTTTTCAAAATTATAAAAAATTGTATGCATTGTATATTAAAATCACTAGAGTTGGACCGGTTTCAGCAGGGGTTATGAACTAGTTTCTAACTAGTTCAGGACCAGAGTTTTTAAGGACTGGGACTGGACCAGACGGACTTTTTAACAACTCTATCGTGATTGTATGCCTTTAATGTCGGATCTGCATTCAATATTTGATTGTTTCGATAGCCGGACAAATTTTTCGTTATGGTCGGAATTAATTTTTGTCTAATATCGTATGATTGGCTACCCAAGTTTTACTCAGATCCGGCTTTAGGTCGGGCAACTTACCCCCTTCTATTAATACTTTAATTTCATCCTTTGATAATAATAATAATAATAATAATGTCCTACTATGACCCGACACTATAATATTGATTAGGAAGTAGGAAGAAAACGGAATACATTTTTAATAAAACAATAATGAAAAAATCAAAAATCTATCAGAATCCAGATTGCAAAATCATTTAAAAAGCTGTGAAAACACCATTTGTAACCTTGAATAATAAGTGTGCTTGAATTGATAGATGTGCTATTTTATCCGATCTTAATTTTTATTTTGCGAAAACAAAGGAGGCCCTAAAATACTATTAAAGGAAAAAAAGGGGAGAATTAGTATAAAGTACTAAATAAGATCAATCAATTCGGTGAATACAACAGATATATAAAGTTCTCCCGTTACTCTATACAACTATACTCCACGCCTCCAATGCTAAATATTCCCGATTAATTTCACGATTCGTAGAAATATATTGTTAAGCACCTTTGGACTGTTCACGATTCGTTTAACATATCCAACAATGCCAACCTTCGTAACATATTCGATAAAATTTCACGATTCGTAGAAAAAATGGTATGGACCCACGGCAACTTTTGACTTATCAAACGGATTGTAACGTGCCTAACAAATCAACATGCCCATGTGAACCCTATTCGTAATTAAAATGTTACGGAGTTCATGACAGTTCCGATGTATCTCATTTTTGTATGAAATACGGTCAGAAGCGCCAGGTTAGCGATCGGAAGCATGTAATATTACCTAATACCTTTTTAAAACAGTTCGAGGAAATTTCATAACCGATCTCTCCTGCAAGACCAGTAGACCTCAAGTCTGTCAAAAAAAGTATTAATCGCGACACATTAACATAATTGTTACTTACTTTTCATATTGCGTATTTCAGTATTTACTTTTTGTAGTTTCATTGAATTGTGTGTTTCGTTTATTATTTAAAAGGTGAAAATAGGCAAACTAGTATTAAAAATACGATCAAGAAAATAATTGACTACGTAGTTTGTCCCGGTAATACAAACTCTTGAAAAGGGAACAATAAGTGAGTTCAAACTTTGACGAACACGTACGAAGAAAAAAAGCAAAAAAAAATATTCAAAAATTAATGTTTAAATTGATCTTGGTGCACTAATTAAAAATAACGGGAACGAATTTTACATATAATAAGTGACAATCGATTGTTATACCCTCTAATGCTTATATTATAAATATGAACTTCTATCTTTACGCACTCGTTCGGAACAAATAAAAAATTGTTCCACCCGACTAATCAAATTCGATATCCCTTATGAAATTTACTCTAGGGCTACTAGCACTAGATAAATATGTATACGAAAATAATTTTGTATAATTTTGTATATTTAAAAGACGGAAAGATACATCTATAATGAGGCTCAATAGGGAACCTCCCTATTGCTGCCAAATTTTGGCTCCAAAGGAGATCAATTAGAACAATAGTACTCAATAAGGTACCATTAGGGTATCAGTAGGGCATCAATAGGGTCAATAAGGTTTTTGCTGATTGTAAACCATTTAATTAATAGTCACCAATCGGGTATTGAGTCTTCAATAGGGTTTTTTACCGATTGTAAATTAGGTACCAATCGGAAACACTCTAGCATGATCAGTCTACTTGGCCAGATCTCGTAACCCAAACAGATTAATATATCGATATTGTTATTATAAACCTTCATTAAAATTTTTAATCATGGTAAAATTTTTATTTCACAAAAAATGAAAAGCATGTTTATTTGAACAAAAATACGCGTCGTTAGGGTGGCGCCTTAACTAATTAAATCAATAGTTAGGGTAAATGTATGAAGATCATTAATTTATAGCCCGAATATTTAAACAATTATTATAAAGCACACCTATGGTATTTTACACCTATTACAGTCGAGCCTCCCTATAGTCACCTCCTATATAAGCATTTTTTTTTTTATAAACATATTTTTAAAAAACAAACTAATATTAATAAAAATAATAAATTTAACCTCTATAATCGTCACACTTCTTTACAATCACACTTTTATGTATCCCAAGTGTGTGATTATAGAGAGGTTTGTTTTTTAAAAATATGTTTATAAAAAAAAGTGCTTATATAGGAGGTGACTATAGGGAGGTTCGACTTATATATTTTTCTTACATTTTTCTAAGTTTTTATAAGTTTGTACAGTATATAAAATTTTCAATGCAAATTTTTTCACGTTAAGGTTAGTATTAGAGCTAACGTTAAGGTTTGGGAAGGTTTTTTTAGGGCATAGAACATTTTTACTTAGAATACTTCATGCCGATTAATTAGCCAGTTTTTGAGAAAACATGTACATAGGTGCAAAACATCATAGGTGCGTTTTAGTAAACTCCTGCTTAAATATTACATTTATTAGCACAAGTATCCAACAAAACTAAATAAGATTGAGACAAATTAAAAAATGAAATGAAATTTTGCTTCATTTAATTTGAAACTTACACGTTTCGCTACAATTTTTGAGATGCATTTTTTTTTTACTATAATTTGGGTTAAGATATAGGATTAGAACTGGAGCTTGTACCCATATAAGAATTAGAGTTCCAATCCGGATAAATCCGTCATCCGTTTATCCGTATCTGAAAGCGGATAATATAGAGTTATTGGATGCGAAGCAGCCAATAACGGAAATTATTTGTAAAATAATTTCATTATCTGGCTGTTAA